ATGAAGAACCCCAGGGTTAGTAGAAGGAAAGAAATCTTAAAAATTAGGGCAGAAATAAATGCAAAAGAAACTAAAGAGATCATAGCAAAAATTAACAAAGCTAAAAGCTGGTTTTTTGAAAAAATAAACAAAATTGACAAACCATTAGCAAGACTCATTAAGAAACAAAGGGAGAAGAACCAAATTAACAAAATTAGAAACGAAAATGGAGAGATCACAACAGACAACACTGAAATACAAAGGATCACAAGAGACTACTACCAGCAGCTCTATGCCAATAAAATGGACAACTTGGAAGAAATGGACAAGTTCTTAGAGAAGTATAACTTTCCAAAACTGAACCAGGAAGAAATAGAAGATCTTAACAAAACCATCACAAGCAAGGAAATAGAAACTGTAATCAGAAATCTTCCAGCAAACAAAAGCCCAGGACCAGATGGCTTCACAGCTGAATTCTATAAAAAATTTAGAGAAGAGCTAACACCTATCTTACTCAAACTCTTCCAGAAAATTGCAGAAGGTAAACTTCCAAACTCATTCTATGAGGCCACCGTCACCCTAATTCCAAAACCAGACAAAGATGCCACAAAAAAAGAAAACTATAGACCAATATCACTGATGAACATAGATGCAAAAATCCTTAACAAAATTCTAGCAAACAGAATCCAACAACATATTAAAAAAATCATACACCATGACCAAGTGGGCTTTATCCCAGGAATGCAAGGATTCTTTAATATCCGCAAATCAATCAATGTAATACACCACATTAACAAATTGAAAGATAAAAACCATATGATTATCTCAATAGATGCAGAAAAAGCCTTTGACAAAATTCAACATCCATTTATGATTAAAGCTCTCCAGAAAGCAGGAATAGAAGGAACATACCTCAACATAATAAAAGCTATATATGACAAGCCCACAGCAAGCATCACCCTCAATGGTGAAAAATTGAAAGCATTTCCCCTGAAATCAGGAACAAGACAAGGGTGCCCACTCTCACCACTCCTATTCAACATAGTTTTGGAAGTGTTGGCCACAGCAATCAGGGCAGAAAAAGAAGTAAAAGGAATCCAGATAGGAAAAGAAGAAGTGAAACTCTCGCTGTTTGCAGATGACATGATCCTCTACATAGAAAACCCTAAAGACTCTACCAGAAAATTACTAGAGCTAATCAACGAATACAGTAAAGTTGCAGGATATAAAGTTAACACACAGAAATCTCTTGCATTCCTATACACTAACAATGAGAAAACAGAAAGAGAAATTAAGGAAACAATACCATTCAGCATTGCAACAAAAAGAATAAAATACTAGGAGTATATCTACCTAAAGAAACAAAAGACCTATACATAGAAAACTATAAAACACTGATGAAAGAAATCAAAGAGGACACAAACATATGGAGAAATATACCGTGTTCATGGATTGGAAGAATCAATATTGTCAAAATGGCTATACTACCCAAAGCAATCTATAGATTCAATGCAATTCCATCAAACTCCCAACGGTATTTTTCACAGAACTAGAACGAATAATTTCACAATTTGTATGGAAATACAAAAAACCTCGAATAGCCAAAGTAATCCTGAGAAAGAAGAATGGAACTGGAGGAATCAATCTGCCTGACTTCAGACTATACTACAAAGCCACAGTCATCAAGACAGTATGGTACTGGCACAAAGACAGAAATATAGATCAATGGAACAGAATAGAAAGCCCAGAGATAAATCCACGAACCTATGGTCACTTTATTTTTGACAAAGGAGGCAAGAATATACAATGGAAAAAAGACAACCTCTTTAACAAGTGGTGCTGGGAAAACTGGTCAACCACCTGTAAAAGAATGAAACTAGAACACTTTCTAACACCATACACAAAAATAAACTCAAAATGGATTAAAGATCTAAATGTAAGACCAGAAAGTATAAAACTCCTAGAGGAGAACATAGGCAAAACACTCTCCGACATAAATCACAGCAGGATCCTCTATGACCCACATCCCAGAATTTTAGAAATAAAAGCAAAAATAAACAAATGGGACCTAATGAAACGTAAAAGCTTTTGCACAACAAAGGAAACTATAAGCAAGGTGAAAAGACAGCCCTCAGATTGGGAGGAAATAATAGCAAACGAAGCAACAGACAAAGGATTAATCTCAAAAATATACAAGCAACTCCTGCAGCTCAATTCCAGAAAAATAAATGACCCAATCAAAAAATGGGCCAAAGAACTGAACAGACATTTCTCCAAGGAAGACATACAGATGGCTAACAAACACATGAAAAGATGCTCAACATCACTCATTATCAGAGAAATGCAAATCAAAACCACAATGAGGTACCATTACACACCAGTCAGGATGGCTGCTATCCAAAAGTCTACAAGCAATAAATGCCGGAGAGCATGTGGAGAAAAGGGAACCCTCTTACACTGTTGGTGGGAATGCAAACTAGTACAGCCACTATGGAAAACAGTGTGGAGATTTCTTAAAAAGCTGGAAATAGAACTGCCATATGACCCAGCAATCCGACTTCTGGGCATACACACTGAGGAAACCAGATCTGAAAGAGACACATGCACCCCAATGTTCATCGCAGCACTGTTTATAATAGCCAGGACATGGAAGCAACCAAGATGCCCATCAGCAGACGAATGGATTAGGAAGCTGTGGTACATATACACCATGGAATATTACTCAGCCATTAAAAAGAATTCATTTGAATCAGTTCTAATGAGATGGATGAAACTGGAGCCCATTATACAGAGTCAAGTAAGCCAGAAAGATAAAGACCAATACAGTATACTAACACATATATATGGAATTTAGAAAGATGGTAATGATAACCCTATATGCAAAACAGAAAAAGAGACTCTGATGTATAGAACAGACTTGTGGACTCTGGGAGAAGGCGAGGGTGGGATGTTTCAAGAGAACAACATCGAAACACGTATATTATCTAGGGTGAAACAGATCACCAGCCCAGGTTGGGTGCATGAGACAAGTGCTCGGGCCTGGTGCACTGGGACGACCCAGAGGGATCGGGTGGAGAGGGAGGTGGGCGGGGGGACTGGGATGGGGAATACATGTAAATCCATGGCTAATTCATTTCAATGTATGACAAAAACCACTGCAATGATGTAAAGTAATTAGCCTCCAACTAATAAAACTAAATGAAAAAAAATAAATAAAAGGAAATAGGAGAGAAAAACAAGAAAAAGAAAAAAAAAGAAAGAAGGGAAAAAAAAGAAAAAAATTTTTTCCCTAATTAAAAAAAATCATAAAAATATATGAAAATGAAAGTTGAGGAGTAATGGGAGAGTAATAGGGAATTTTAAAAGAAAATAAAAGAGGAAAAAAAAAGGAAGAAAAAAAATTTTTTTTTAATTTAACAAAAAATATACATATATATCTAGGAATTTCTCTGGAGCTGTTGCAGTCAGTGTTGGTTCAGTTCAATTTCAGATAGCTCCTCTTTCCAGCTTACACTTCTTGAGAACTGTAGGGCCCTTCCTGTGTAGTTGGTGTTACCTTCAGGGATTTTAATCTGTTGCACCAGTCCTTTCTGAAGCGGTTCACTTTGTTTATTTGGCTTCTGTTTGCCGTCTCTTCGGTGTCTAATTTCTGCCCTGACACAGGCGGACGGAGGTGATCTCTTATTTAGGTTCACTAGTTCAGTTCAGTCCTGCTACAGGGAGGGCGGGGCGCTGCAGACAGATATCGCTGTGTGTGGATAGCACTCACCGTGTTCCGGCCACACAGGGTTTGCCCCGTACAGGGGTGTCTGTGCTTTACCCGTCTACACTGCTCAGGCTCCCGGCTGCTCTATATGGAGCGGGCCCTGTGTTGAGTGCGGTTCCAGTTTTCGGGTACTCCACAAAAGCGCGGATTCGGTTGCGCCTGTGTTTTGTGCCTTCCCCGGCCTGAGCGGTTCAGGCAGCCAGAGGCTTGGGTGCACTCTCCCTGGGTGCGGCGCGCCTTTTCCCTCCGCGGCCCCAGCGCGCACCACCGGTCAGGTGCCTGCGGCTTGCGTTTGTTCAGAGGAGCTGGCCTCTAGCCACGACCCTCCCGGCGGCGGATGTCGACCATCCAGAATCTCAGGAAGTCTTTAGATAGGAACTGGGGGCCTGTTTGCAGTGTGGGAGGGGGTGGCTTCTCGGGGGCTGAGTTTGCCCTTTTCCCCTCCCCCCTGCCTCCTTCCTCCAGCGGGGATGGGCAGGCTCTTCTCTGGAGTTTCTCAGTCCCTTTGTTTTGCGAACCGTCAGCAGTATGTTTGGGCTGGTTAATTTTCTCCCTTGCTATCCCACAGTTTAAAAGAGCTCCCTCCGATTGCTCTCAGGGCCTTCTGGCCAGGTCCTTATCCTAAGCAATGCCGCCCGCTCCTCTCTGTTCCGCCCCCCCTTGCTGGTGGCGGGTGTGGGCATCTGGCGTACTTTTCTGCTGGGAGTTGCCTTTAGGCACGTAATCTGTAGGCCTTATTTAATTTTTCCTCCCAGTTAGGTTGCCCTCCAAGATTTGAAAACTTCCCCCAGACCCGCCAGTGCGAGGGTTTCCTGGTGGTTGGAAACTTCCTCTATTAAGACTCCCTTCCCGGGATGGGTCTCCGGCCGTAGCTCCCCGTCCTATTCCTCCGTCATCTTGGCTCCTCCCCCGACATCTTTTTTTTTAAAAAGAGTACATATTATGTGCACAAAGTTGCTAGATCCCATGTCAGGCTTTGACAGGGAATTATGTATGTGAGGCACTCTCCAGTTTAACCTTCATCAACTTCTAGGAAAAACTCCTGCTGAATAAGCATAAAGGCAATTTGTCTCCAAGTCTGTCATCCTGGCATGGAGTTGTCACTCTCATATTTTCCCAGAATTAGTTTAACACAACATGAACATCTAGTTGATGTCGTGGATAGTAGGTGGGAGACATAAAACATGTGGTCAATAATCAAATAGCAAATAAGCAAAGACAGGTTGACTATAACTGTCTGCTCTTCTTTCATCAGGTGGCTGGTGGAATCTTCACGGTGGCTGATTGTCACCAATAAACCAGATGAGGGCTTAAAGGAACTTAAAAAAGTTGCACACAGAAATGGAATAAAGAACGCTGAAGAAATCCTGAGTATGGAGGTAAGCCGGAAAGGCAAGGTGGTTACTGGGTTGGAGGGAGGTCGTGAACTAATACCTGCCTCCTCCTTACTGAGACAGACAAACTGCTTTTCTAACAAGGCCATCTAATTGAGAATGCAAGCTCAATTTCCTGGTCTTTCATGCCCATTTCTTACAAAAGGAGCTTTGAACACTGTGCAAGGCTTCTTCTTTTAGTTCATCTCCTGATTTGAACCTGCAGCCTATGTGCTCTCATGGATACCCTGCCCACTTCCCTCTGACATGGCCTCATTTTAAAAAAATATTTGTTGCTGTGTAATTTCCTGGAGTCTCCCTTAACTCCCTAGATCCTCCTTCATATCATGTTCACACAAGTGATTGCATGTGTCATCTGTTGTACGACAAAGAAAGAGAATGTATCTCTCCTACCCTATTGGGTGCCAGTGTTCATCACAATACCTGGCACTATGTCAGCAAGTGATGTGTATTTGTTGTTGAAGGGCTTGAAAGCGACCATGCAGGAGGAGCTGGAGGCAGCACAGACCAAACCTACTGTGTTTGACTTGTTCCGCACACCCAACCTGCGTAAAAATGCCTGTCTTCTCTCCTTTGTGAGGTAGGCTTTACACAATGCATGTGGTTGATGCTATTGTTCAGTTGCTAAGTCATGTCCAACTCTTTGTGACCCTAGGGACTATAGCATGCCAGGTTCCTCTGTCCTCCACTATCTCCTGGAGTTTGCTTAAACTCATGTCCACTGAGTTGGTGATGTTATCTAACCATCTCATCCTCTGCAGTCCCCTTGTCCTTTTGCTTTCAAGCTTTTCCAACAAACATCGGAGTCTTTTCAAACAAGCTGGCTCTTCATATCAGCTGGCCAAAATATTGGAGCTTCAGCTTCAGCAGTAGTCCTTCCAGTGAATATTTGGGACTGACTTCCTTTATTATTGACTGATTTGATCTCCTTGCTGTCCAAGGAACTCTCAAAAGTCTTATTCCAGCACCACAGTTTGAAAGCATCAATTCTTTGGCAGTCAGTCTTCTTTATGATCCAACTCTCACATCCATACATGACTACTGGATAAAACATAGCTTTACATAGAGACATTCAAAGAGTGGGGACATGAAGCTATTTCATTAATTACAGCAGTGTTGTGAGAGGGAGGCACTGATTTGAAGATAAGAGATGAGGAAAACACACCAAATAATACTGCCACAGAAATTAGCATATGAAGTAGAGTTGGTTATATCATTCTGTCAGTCTCTTCAGTGAAGGTTTACATTGAGAATTTCTGTCACAGTGTGGATTTGGGGGTTTAATTTTTCCTTAAATTTTAATTGAAGCAATTTTTGCCAATAGATACCTGAAGATATTATGAATATCTACAGATCAATGAATATTTCAATATGTAAAAATGTAGCAACCTCCTGTAGATCAAAGCAGGAAAATCCTGACACCCAGGATTCCCCTCACATATCCTGTACAATAATAAACACCACCACCTCCACCACTGCCTCATTCTTTTTCTCTCCTCATGGCCCTCACCTGTCCAACTGCTCTGACCTCTTTCACTTCAGAAGAGTCTTGCCTGATCTTGACCTTCACATAATGTAAATGATACAAGGATTCTGTGACAGGCCCCCTTTTCTAATGCTCATTCTTGAAGATTCACCCATTCTGCTGCATGTACCATTGGGTGGTTCTCCTCCCTAGTGCTTCAGTTTTCATTAGATGAATACACTACAATTTCTTGATGTACTTCAATGTTGGTGGACTTCTATTTGTTTCCAATTTGGATACATTTTATTTGTGTGTTAGCACAAGGGCTTCTGTAAGGAGATCTTGGTCATTGTCTCTTGAGGGGATATAAGTACTTACTTTGGTAGAGTCAGGAGGAGACATTTTAAATATAATTCAAAATTTTTGAATACTGAATGCTCATGCACAAGAAGCATACAGGACAACATAGACTCACTGACAAGCTTAAGTAAGTGACTATTGCATTTCATAATTGATCTCTTCCCAGGCGTATCCTAGTAAACCATTTCTGCACTTAACTTCATTGTGCTTTTTCATAATGAAGAAGCACTGAGGCACTGAATGGAAGCTAGAAGGTGAGGAAAACACACCAAATAATACTCACATGGAAGTTAGTGCCTCCCTTTTTTGGGGGGCTTCCTTGGTGGCTCAGATGGTAAAGAATCTGCCTGCAGTGTGGGAGACCTGGGTTGGGAAGATCCCCTGGAAGAGGGCATGGCAACCCTCTCCAGTGTTCTTGCCTGGAGAATCCCCAGGACAGAGGAGCCTGGTGGGCTACAGTCCATGGGGTCACACAGAGTCTGACATGACTGAGCAACTAAGTTCACAACACATGCATCTTCTACTTTTCCATATTCACTAAGACATAGACTTCTGTTTCTAAATCTTAGAAAATCAGAGTGGAAGGGAAAAGTAAAGATGACAGTCATCAGACACCTTTCTTGGAATACTGCAATTTGTGATGTTTCTTCTATTTTAATGTCTAAGTCTAGGAGAAGGCAATGGCACCCCACTCCATACTCTTGCCTGGAAAATCCCATAGATGGAGGAGCCTGGTAGGCTGTGGTCCATGGGGTCACTAAGAGTTGGACATGACTGAGCCACTTCACTTTCACTTTTCACTTTCATGCATTGGAGAAGGAAATGGCAACACTCCAGTGTTTTTGCCTGGAGAATCCCAGGGACGGGGGAGCCTGGTTGGCTGCCATCTATGGGGTCGCACAGAGTTGGACACAGTTGAACTGGCTTAGCAGCAGCAGCAGTTGTACTAAGTCTAGCTCTCTCTAGGTATAGTAGATCATTAAAGTGGGCTTTTTTCCTTTAAATGTTTTCTTGGTAAAATCTGAAGTGAGATCCTTTGATTCCATTTCTGATGTTACTGTTGGTGTACGTTTGCTTTCCTGTATTCTTACACTGTCTCTTAGCCCTAAAAAATCAGGAATGAACTTTAAATTTTGTAGAACTGTGTTAATCCCTAGGACACTATGCTGTCAAGTCAAGGGGACACAGACAGTATTTTCCAGTTTCAACCACTAGTTGAGAAATTAGAAATTCTTTACAGTATTGGGATTGGGCGAGGAGAGGGAGGACCCACAGCATATAGACAACCCTCAAAAAGAAATTATTTCCCTAATTTCTAAGTTTTACTATTAATGCTTTTATTGTCAAATATTATATACCATCCTGTTTGGAGACTGAGTCACGTTATGTTTCCTGTTGTTGTCATATTTGTGTTTAATAAATCAGACAAAAGAGTGTCAGAAAAAGTGTTGTTTTCATATACAGCCATGTAATTTTTATGGTGACTTTTCACCTTAAAATGAAGAATTATGCAAGTCAGATAGGGCCTTTATTGTTTAACTTTGATCATTGGCTGCCTGGGTGAATATAATAATCAATTATAGTACCTTTGCTGTAAGTCTTATGGCTTATGTCTTTTTTTTTTTTTCACTACAGATTTGCAACCACACTACCCTATTTTGGCATCTTTATGAATCTACAGCACTTTGGGAGCAATATTTTCCTGTTCCAGGTAATCTTTGGAGCTCTCACTCTCTCAATCCGAAGTCTTGCTGTCTTACCCCTGAATCACATGGGCCGCCGACCAACCCAGATGTTTCTCGTGTTCCTGGTGGGGATTTCCATTTTGGTCAACACATTTGTGCCCCAAGGTGAGAGAAGACTGGACTTTGGGGAAAGGAAGGGTCTTTTTCTCATTCTTCAAGTTTTGTTTGGTCATACTTGTCTAAAGCCAGGAGTGAAAAGAGGTCCTAATGAAAGGTTAACTATTCCCCCAAACCAAACTGATAAAAAATTCTGCTAATAAGTTTTTGAGAAAAGAGCTAAAGATCAGTAAGGGGCAGCTCAAACATATATTTACTTTCATCACATAGTGGAAACGTCTGGAAAATGGTCCCATTCATTCCAGGCAGTCTCTCTAGGACAGCCATCATTCACTTGTGATTTTCCCATTCACACATTAAATAACAAGTGAAAGGGATGAGGCCTTGCAATTATATCCCACATGAGAGCATACTATGGCCATGCCCTCTGTTTGGGCTCTTCATTACCATCTTTGATGACTGGTCTACTTCCCCATTTTTATGTATCCACATATGACTGAGCTTGAGTCACTATGACTATAGTTCTTGCTGAAGAAAGTCTCGAAAGAGGGTGAAGTAGAAACAAGAATTGAAGCTGAGAAAACTCCTTGTCCATTCCCTATCAGACTACTATATAAGTTAATAGAATAATGATATGTAATAATTAGAAGAAACTTAGTGGGCGATTTGCTTCACCGTCTCCAATGCACGAATGTGACTCACAGCATTACAGATAGGTATTTTTATTGCTCCTCAGAAGATCATCAATAATGCATTAATAATACTGCTTTACCATGGAGTTCTTTGCAATATTATCCAGTTATAATTATGTTTCTTTTTATACTGTGCAGAAAACTGATTCCCCTAAATTTTCTTAATTGTTCCCTAATTCTGACAATTTTTCCCAACTACATCATGTCTAACATTGATGTAGATCTAGCTTCTCCTCAGTCTGTCCACTAATAGAGTAGTACTGTCCTGTTACTCTCTGGTGTCATGCTTACCCCCAAGGCAATGTTCTATCTACACTAGGTTGATTGACTTACTTGGGTTTACCTGGGACTTTTCTGATTTTATCAATGAAAACCTCACATTATCAAAAATCTTCAAATTCCCAGAAAAACCAGGATGACTGGTCACTTTAAAACCTGCACTTTAATTGTAAACTTCTCAAGATTGGAGCTAAACATTAGACTCAGTAATTGTCCACATCATAGTCTTAACTTCAACAATAAGGATATTGCAAATATTGGACCAAATCAGTGAAAGCAAATTTCTGCCACACTCTTTCCTTTTTTTTTTCTTGCAAATCTCAGGTATGCAAATGGATTTGTTGCAATTAATCTGGATAGTTTTATGTAATTTTACCACATATATTGATGATTTTACATTTCTCAGTTTATCAACATATATAGATATATATATATATTCTATGGTATATTTCAAACCTATCAGTAAACCATAGTTTTCTTTTTTTCCTGAGTAAATTTGGTGGATGCCAATTCCTCCAGCCCAGATTTCTTAGTGTTGCTGGTTTTCCTGTCTCCAGAAATGCAGACCCTGCGTGTGGCCTTGGCAAGTGTGGGAATTGGCTGTGTTGCTGCGTCTGCGTCCGTTCTTTTTGTCCACTCTGTTGAACTCATCCCCACTCTCCTCAGGTAAGAGTTTATGGATGCTCTGCCAGGATCCAAAGTATGACTTTCCCAACTAACTGATGCTTATTTCAGGAATGAACACAGTAAGATCTTTAAGTTATAAATTAATCATTTGTAATAGTAATAATATATCAGTAGCAACTATAGCCAAAGTTAATTGAAAAACCTGACTTTGTTCTGTGTATAGTTCTGAGCAGTAATTCAATGTATCTCCTCATTAATCTTTTGGATCTCTTATTACTATAGGTGCAATGTGTAACATTCCATATAAAATGATGAAAATGTATCAATACACTTTGACAAAGACAGCTAGAAAACCAGGGAGCAAATCTCAGTAACAAGGGTTTATCATCAAGCTCATGACTATGAATATAGTAATTGTGTTTTGTTGCATTTCATAACCCAGTCAGAATAATATCTCACAAATTTTATGTGCAGACATTTACTGAATTGCTACATAATGTCATTTACTCCTTCAGGGCAAATGCTGTAGGATTAGATATGCTAGTTAGTAGGTGTGGGGCAACCCTGGCTCCCCTCTTGATGACCCTAGTGGTGCATCTACCCACCCTGCCCTGGATCATCTATGGAGCCTTTCCCATCGCTGCTGGCCTTCTCATTCTTCTCCTACCTGAAACCAAAACTCTGCCAATTCCTGACACCATCCAGGATGTGGAAAATAGGTGAGTAAACCTTCTACTATCCCCTGGGAGGGACTGTGTGCTTTGGATCTGTGGGTGAGAAAGGCAACACACCGCATGAGTCCCTCAGATCACTGGGGAGGCAGAGCCTTGCCTGGGATACTCCCATCTTGGGCCATTTATCTTCATGAGAGTCAAGGTCATCTCCATCCATTGTGAATTCTAGTCTGGACTGCAGAGATCCCCTCTGCCCTGTTCTCATTGGTAGTTTTAGTGCTGATGCGATGGTAATTAGCTCTGTTATGATTCTGCATACTACTTGTCCTCATGAGAAACACACATTCATATTGGGATCATGCTCCTCAGATCCATAAGAGCTTGGGATAGAGGGGAAAGAAATGGGATGACCAGTGAAGGAGCACTGTTAGGAAAATCACATTTAGTTAAGGACTTTCTGTGGAAAGGTAGTAAAAAAAAAAAGCTATTTGTTTGCATGTGGCTGTAAGATTCAGTTATGCAAAGACTGAGGATAATAAGAAACTGGAAAAGGCATTTTAAAACTATAACATTGTGTCTTAGTTTCATAGGGCTTCTACAGTGGAATCTGACAAACTGAGTGACTTAAGCAAAATAAATTTACTGTCTCAAATTTCAGGTGGCTGAAAGTCAGCTCAAGTTGTTGGCAGGACTCTGCATCCTCTGAAGGCTCTAGAGAAGGGTCTGTTCCAGGTCTCTCCTGGATTCTGGTAGTTCCTTGGCTAGTGGAAAATAGCTCCAATCTTCACATCACATCCCCCTGGCATGTCTCTATGTCTCAAGTTCCCCCTTTTTATAAGAACATCATCATATTGGATCAGGGGCTCTTTCTACTCCAGTTTGACCTCATCTTAATTAATCAGCAACAACCCTGTTCTGAAATATGATAATTGCATATTCTGAGGTAGATGGTTAAGACTTCAATATATATACTTTGGAAGGTACACAATTGAACCTATAACAAGTGGGGAATTCCTTTAGATTTTTAACCCAGTTCTTGACTTATCAGAGGTGTCATTGGCCAGAGATCCAAACAACAAGGTGAGAATCCAAAAAGACCAAGTGTGAGTAGCACTTTCAAGTGCTTCCTTGTGCCTGCACAGTTGGTGTCATTCAATCACCAAGTCATGTCTGGTTCTTTTGGGACCTCATGGACTGTGGCCCACGAGGCTCCTCTGTCCATGGAATTTCCCAGGCAAGAATATTGGAGTGGACTGCCATTCCCTTCTCCAGGGGCTCCTTCTGACCCAGGGATCAAACCTGTATCTCTTGCATTGGCAGGAGAGTTCTTTACCACTGAGTCACCACTGAGCCACCCTGATTCAGCAGTAAGGAATCTGTGACTTAGTGACTCAACAGCAACAACGAAAGGAGCTGATGCTTAGGGATCAGTTTGCACTTGTACAAGGAGGGCATCCAAACTTATTTTCCCTCTTTCATAATGTCTATTCTTATTTTCTGATCAGTTTGGTTAATTTGTTGTTTCTCCTTTGGTTTTTCAGGCAAAATTTCTCAAGAAAAATAAATGAAAAAGATTCTTACATAAAAGTGACAAAATTTTAAGGCTCTTCATGGCCTTGCTGGTGAGGAAGAAAAAAACATGAAGAAAAAATGTCTCCAGGAGTAGATATCTCCTTTATATCTACAAAATGGCAAGAAAATACACTTGAAAAATACATCTCATTTACAATTATTGCATTAATTGGTAATTAAACATATAATAAATGAGAATATGTAATTCCATGAACAATCCCATTTTGGGGGGAAGGAGTCAAAAAAGTTTCAAATTTATCAATAAATTATTAATAGACAACATGATTCAGAAACAGAGGAATACCATGGCAGGTTCATATAAGGAGCACCATGTGATGAACTCTAAATAAATTTTCAAAAGTCAGAGCATTATAGCATAAACAACTGGACATCAAAAGAAATCCAGAAGCAGACACCAATATATCTGTAAACTTAGTGCATGATACTTTTGATGTCATAAATCACTGGCAAATAGAAAATTATGTTCTTTTTGGAAATACATTCATTGAAATGGTAACAATGGTGAACTTTAAGTGGTCAAATTTTAAGTGATTACTTTTTCTTTGTGATTTTTTATGTTCATGTTTTTAAAAAGTAAGCATACATAATTTAAAATATTATAAGGGGATGACCAAGTGACTGCTTGATAAGGAAATTGTTATGGATCAGCCATCTCAACAGAAGCAAAGCTATTCTTCAAGGTCATGGAAGAATGACCGTGAAGGCAATTCAGAGATCTTCAGAGCTGCCACTCCAATCACAAGCCAAGAGGGCAAGGGGCTGAGAGGGCCTGTTGTTATTGTTATTTGGTCGCTAAGTCATGTCTGACTCTGTGACCCTGTGTGAGCTCTGCCTCGTGCTGTCTTATCTTGTTGTCGTCTATGGTTCCCTTATTTTTGGTATAGTTTACACAGGGTAAAAAGTACAAATCCCAAGGCCAAAATTCAGTGTATTTGCATAAATTCATATACCAGGGTCAAACGCAATCCAATCAACAGGGAGATTAATTCCATCACCCAGAAATTACTTTTGTGCTCATTCCTCAGTCAGGATTGTCCTTTAGCCTTCAATCCTCTTCCACTGTGTATTTCACTAGGTGTTAACTATGTTTCTCCTAGAACATCACAATAAATTTATTACAGATTTATACTTTTTGTTGTATTGACACTTGCTTGGTATATTGTACTTGAAATTCATACCTGTTTTTTTTTGTATCGGTATTTCACTCCTTTTTATTTCCATAAAATATTACATAGTATGGATTTGAAAATACTGCCAAGTTAGATATCTGAAAAAGGGTTAATATCCAAAATTTATAAGTAACTCCTACAATTCAATAACAAAATACTAAGTAACCCAATTTAAAAATAGACAAAGAACCCTAATAGACATTTTCCTAAAGAAGACATACAAATGGCCATCAGATTTTGGACAGTTGCTCAACATCACTGATCATCATGGAAAGGAAAATCAAAACTACAATGGAGAATTGCCTCACACCTCTTAGAATGGCTATGATGGAATAAAATTTATACTTTAAAGCAGGACAAGAAACTTTAAGCATGACATATTCCCTGCTCGTACCAATCCCTCCTTCATGTGCAATGTGTATCTGCATTATACGTTAATCAGAGCTCCTAAAGGATGAGACTGTTAGCCCAACTGTAACAAGTAATGGCAACCTGCTGCTTGCTTGGTGTGTGCAGACCTGGACTATGTGTCTTTGGTGAACTTGATGCAAAATGCCAATGTGTCATTTGTGACGAAAGTTTCTTTGTCTCAAAAATATATATGACTGTGTCTTCAACTTCTAACAAATAGAACAGTCCTCAGAGTTTTCTGAAAGGCTGTCTCCTGGGTTACAATCCTCAGCCTGGTTCAAATAAAATTCTCTATTTCTCCTTTGGATTGACTATTGATTAATTTCTCAGTGACAGCTAGCATCAAGAAGACAAGAGATAATAAGTGTTGGTGAGTATGTGGTTATGGTTGTTATTTAGTTGCTGAGTCTTGTCCGACACTTTTGTGATGCCATGGGCTACATCTTGCCAGGATCCTCTGTCCTTGGAATTTTCCAGGCAAGAATACTGGAGTGGGTTGCCATTTCCTTCTCCAGGGGATCTTCTCTACCTAAGGATCAAGCCTCCCTCTTCTGCATTGCAGGCGGATTCTTTACCACTGAGCCACCAGGGACGTTAATATGTGGAGTAAAGGCAATACTTGATGCTAATATGAATTGGTGCAGTCACTATGGAAAACAGCATAAGAATTCCACAAAAATTTTTTTAAATAGCACATAATCCAGCAATCCTATTTCTTATTTTATATGCAAAAGGAATGAAAACAGGAAAATGAAAAGATATTTGTACTCCCATGATTATTTTTTACAATAACCAAGAAGCAACATAAGTGTCCATCTGAAAGTGAATGGTTAAAAACATAGTGTAAGTTTAAACAATGGGATATTATTCAGTCATGAGAAAAATAGAAATGTTATTTGTGAAAACATGAATAGACCTTGACAGCACTGTGCTAAGTAAGATAAATCAGACAGAGAATAATAGATACTGTAAATAAGCTAGACGTCAAATGTAAAAAAGTTAAATCTGTGTAAGATGGTGTAAGTAGGATGGTGGTTATCAGGAGCTGGGAGATTGGGGAATTGGGGAAATGTTTAATGGTACAAATTTGCAACTGGTAGATAAGATGTAATGCATAATTTGTGATTATAGTCAACAATGTAGGTGTGTGTATGTGTGTATTTGTGTGTGTGTGTGTGTGTGTTAGTTGTTCAGTTGTGTCTGGCACTTTGCAATCCCATGGACTGTAGCTTGCCAGGCTCCTCTGTCTATGGAAGTCTCCTGGCAAGAACGCTGGAGTGGGTTGCCATTTCCTTCTCCACGTGATCTTCCCAAACAAGGGATCAATCCTGGGTCTCCTGCATTGCAGGCAGATTCTTTCCCATCTGAGCTACCAGGAAAGTCCATAGTCAACAATACTATATTGCAAATTTCAAAAGTTATTAGTCTGGATCTTAATTATTCTCCACACAAAAAAGAAATGATAATTTTGTGGCAAGATTAGAGTGTTAGCTTATAGCTAACACTATAATAATAATCATATTGAAGTATACAAATGTATCAAATCAGCACTGCTGTTTATCTTGTTTAGTTGCTCAGTCATGTCCAAATCTTTGCAACCTCATGGACTATAGCCCACCAGGCCACTCTGTCATGGATTTCCCAGGCAAGAATACTGGAGTTGGTTGCCATTTTCTTCGCCAGAGGGTCTTCCCTACCCAGGGATCGAACCCACCAGTCTCCTGCATTGGCGGCAGATTCTTTACCACTAAGCCACCAGGAAAGCCCCCACTGTATATCTTTTGCGTATGAGCTAAGTCACTTCAGTCATGTCTGATTCTTTGCGACCCCATGGAGTATAACCCACCAGGCTTCTCTGTCCCTGGGATTTCCCAACCAAGAATACTGGAGTGGGCTGTCTTGCCCTTCTCTAGGGGATCTTTCCATCCTAGGGACCGAACCTGCATCTCCTCCATCTCCTGCAGTGGTCCAGGGGCTCTTTACCACTAGCGCCACCTGGGAAGCCCCTTATCTTAACTTTATACAATTTTTTATGTCCGTCATATCTCAATAAAGAACAAACAGACAAATAAAAACTTGGAACCATCTTGTTGGGCTTCGCCAGTTAAATTAACAATGTACATACATTTCATGTATTCAACAGTGAAAAGAAATAAGCTATAGAAACACGTAGAATGGGGCTACCCTGGTAGCTCAGCAGGTAGAGAATCCACCTGCAATTCAGGAGACCCCGGGTTGATTCCTGAGTTGGGAAGATCTGCTGGAGAAGGAATAGGCTACCCACTCCAGTATTCTTGAGCTTCCCTGGTGGTTCAGCTGGTAAAGAATTCATCTGCAATGCAGGAAACCTGGGTTCAATCCCTGGGTTGGGAAGATGCCCTATAGAAGGGAATGGCTACCCACTCCAATATTCTGGCCTGGAGAAATCCATAGACTATACCATGGGGTGGCAAAGAGTTGGACAGGACTGAGTGACTTTCGCACATAGAATAGGCTTCTCAGGTGACTCACTGGGTAAAGAATCCGCCTGCCATGTATGAGACCTGGATTTGATCCCTGGGTTGGGAAGATCCGCTAGAGGAGGGCATGGCAACCCACTCCAGTACTCTTGCCTGGAGAATCCCATGGACAGAGGAGCCTGGCAGGCTATAGTCATGGGGTGGCAAAGGATCGAAGGTGACTGAGTGACTAACACTTCCACTTTTCATTTTATTTGCATATCGATACAATTTTCAACATGATAGTGTTTTGTTTATCTTTTCTTTCAGATATTCCATTAAGTGCATAGAAATGCAATAGGTCTCTGCATTAATCTTGTGTCCTATAGCCTTCCTAACTTCATTCATTACCTCTAACAGTTTGTTGGTGGTGACTTTAGGGTTTTCTGTAGAGTATCATGTCATCTACAAATAGTGATAGTTTTATCTCTTCCCTTCCCACTTGGATACATTTGAGTTCTTTTCCTTGTCTGATTGCTGTGCACAAGAGTTTCAGTATTTTGTTAAGTAGAAGTGGTGCAAGTAGGCATCCTTTTCTTGTTCCTGAATTTACCAGAAGTCTTTCAACATTTTACCTTTGAGCGTTACATCAGCTGTAGGTGGTTTTGTTAAGAAGCCTTTATTATGTTGAGTTATGTTCCTCCTATAACCACTTTGATGAAAGTTTTTATAATGAATGAATGTTGAATTTTGTCAAATGTGTCTTCTTGGTCCATTGAGGTAATTATGTGATTTTTTTTGTCTTTCTTGTGACCCTGAAATAAATCCAATTTGATCATGGTAAATGATCCTTTTTATGTGCTGTTGGATTTAGCTTGGTAATATTTTTTGTTGAGGATTTTTGCATCTGTATTCATCAAAGATATGAGCATGTGATTTTCTTTTGTCTCTTGTGTTGTCTGCTTTTGGTATCAGGGTAATAAGAGCAGTC